AAAAAAAAAAAAAAAGCCCCCTGCCAGGCATGGTGGCTCATGCCTGTAATCCCAGCACTTTGAGAGGCAGAGATGAGAGGATTACCTGAGCTTAGGTGTTCGAGATCATCCTGAGCAACATGGTGAGACCTCATCTCTACAATTAAAAAAAAAAAAATCAGCCCGGCATGGTGGCACATGCCTGTGGTTTCAGCTACTTGAAAGGCTGAAGCAGAAGAATCACTGAGCCCAGCAGGTCGAGGCTGCGGTGGCCATGAGCATGCCATTGCATTCCAGCCTGGGCAACAGAGTGACACTCTGACTCAAAAAAAATTAATAAACCCCATTACTAATGGAGGGCAACACAAGCCTGCATCTTCATGTCCTCTGCCATTTCCAGAGCAGCCCCAGTGTTTCCTACAGTTTAATACCAACTGTTAATCTGACTCTGAGTGAGCAATGCCATTTTGATGTGATGGAAAATCTACTCTGAATTGAACAGCTGATCTGAATGCTCAGTACTAGTTCCTGTGCCAGCTAGCTGCTTTCAACCTCTAGAGAAGATCCACCTGCTAACAGGAGAGACCACTTCCTCTTTCTCTACCTTTTCTACTTCTCTTTTGCAGGCCACTTTGCAAAAGATTGTTTCATGCAACCAGGTGGGACCAAATACTCTCTGATACCTGATGAGGAAGAGGAGAAGGAAGAGGCAAAGTCAGCAGAATTTGAGAAGCCTGACCCCACGAGGAATTCTAGAAAAAGAAAGAAGGTGAGTGCTGTTCTGCTTTTGTTTGTTTAGAGTTGGGAAGTCTGTTGCCCAGGCTGGAGTGCGGTGGCACAATCATAGCTCACTGCTGCCTTGACCTTCTGGGCTCAGGTGATCCTTCTACCTCAGCCTCTTGAATAGCTGGGACTGTAGGCAGGCTCCATCATGCCTGGCTAATTTTTTTTTTTTGGTAGAAATGAGGTCTTGCTATGTTGCCCAGGCTGCTCTCTAACTCCTGGGAACAAGCAATCCTCCCACCTCAGGCTTTCAAAATGTTGTGACTACAGGCATGAGTCACCACGCCTGGACACTTTTATTTAATTTATACTATTTTTTTTTGAGTTTAAAATGAAAGTATGGGGCCACACATGGTGACTCACCCCTATAGTCCCAGTACTTTGGAAGGTGGAGGTAATAGGATTGCCTGAGCCCAGGGGTTTGAGACCAGCCTAGGCAACTTGGCAAGACGTCTTCTCTACAATAAATCAAAAAAATTAGCCGGGTGTGGTTATATGCACCTGTAGTCCCACCAATTTGGTGACTGAAGCAGAAGAATTGCCTGAGCCCAGCAGGTTGAGGCTGTGGTGGCCATTAGTGTGCTACTGCACTCCAACTTTGGTAACAGAGTGAGACTGCAACTCAAAAAATTAACATTTAAATTTAAAAAGTAAAATAAAATGAAAGTGTGGGGCTGGGTGTGGTGTCTCACCCCTATAATTCACAACTTTGGGAGACTGAAGACAGAGGATTGTTTGAGGCCAGGAGTTCAAGACCAGCTTGGGCAACATAGTGAGACTCCATTTCTATAAAAACATTTTTAAAAAAGAAAATGTGAAGAGCTTGGTGCAGTGACACACACCTGTAGTCTCAGCTACTTGGGAAGCTGAGGCAGGAGGATTGCTTGAGGCCAGGAATTTAAGGCTACAATGAGCTATGATCATACCTGTGAATAGCTACTGCACTCTAATCTGGACAATACAGTGAGACCCCCATCTCTCAAAAATTTTGTTTAAATTTTTTAAAAAATGAAGAAAATGTGTCTTTTGCAGAAATTTTAGAAATACTGAAAAACATAATGAAGAAAACCAAGATCTTCTATAATCTTTCTATCCAGAGAGACTTTTACAGCATTTTTGGTATATTCTAATCTTTTTTCTAGGTAATAATAAAAATAGATATATATGTAGCTATACATACATATAAACACAAAATTATGGTCATACTAGGTATAGTTTATACCCTACTTTTCTCCTTTTACTTATCAAAGGCATTTTCTTTTTTTTTAGTTGGAGTCTCTTTCTGTCACTCAGGTTGGAGTGCAGTGGCATGCTCACAGCCACTGCGACTGTGAGCAGCAGTGAGACTCTCACTCAAAAAAAAAAAAAAGTACATATTTTTTTAAGTCTTAAGACTATTAGCAAGAAGAAGAGAGAGAAAAAAAAAGGAAGATTCATGGCAGAAAGACCTGCCATGGGCAAGTTTCTCAAAAGAGAAAAGCTACTGATTTTTTTTTTTTTTTAAGCTGCTTCTTTGGCTAGGTGTGGTGGCTCTCATCTATAATCGCAGCAGTTTTAGGGGCTGAGGTGGGAGGATTGCTTGAGGCCATCCGTAAGTTAAAGATTAGCTTGGCAACATAGAGAGATTTGCCTCTACAAAAATAAAGAAATTAGCCAGGCATGGTGGCACATGCCTGTAACCCTAGCTACTTGGGAGGCTGAGACGGAAGTTTGTCTGAACCCAAAAGTTTGAGATTATAGTAAACCATGATCACACCAGTGCACTTCAGCCCAGGTGACAGAGCAAGATCTTGTCTTTTTTTTTGAGTTGGAGTCGTACTCTGCAGACTGGAATGCATTGGCACGCTCATGGCCACTGCAGCCTCAACCTGCTGGGCTTAGGCTTTCCTTCTGCCTCAGCCTTCCAGGTAGCTGGAACTACACGTGCACACTACCATGCTCAGCTTATTTTTTGATTTATTGTGGAGATGAGGTCTCACCAAGTTGCCCAGGTTGGTCTCAAGCCCCCAGACTCAGGCAGACTTTTCACCTCGGCCTCTCAAAGTGTTGGGATTACAGGCTGAGTCACCGTGCCCAATTGATCTTGTCTTTTTTTTTTTTTTAAAAAGCATCTTCTTTATGTCACTGCCCACTTCTCTCCATTGTTGATTTCTCATCCTCTGCTTTAACTCTGATTATTGGAGTGCTCCAAAGTAATCTCATCCTGAGCTGTTGTTTTAAATACCATGTATGTACAGAAACCCTAAATTAAGTATTTGTATTCTTATTTTATTCAACTGTGCATTTCTATCCTTGACTCTTTCTCTGGAACTTCAAATTTAGACAAAAGACTGCCTTTTTGACATTCGCATCTGCTTGTCTTATTGACATTAGGCTTGATACACACCCAAAACTCTTGATTTCCCTACCCAAAGTTGCTCCTTCCACATTCTGCCCTGTCTTAGTGAATGGATCACATTTACTTAGTTGGTCAGACCAAAATCTGCAGCCTTTGAGTGTATTTTTTTGTTGTTTATTTTTTAAATTGTGGTAAAATACATATACTGTAAAAATTTACCATTGCAAAATCAGCTGGGTGTGGTAGCGCATGCCTGTAATTCCGGCTACTCAGAAGGCTGAGGTGGAAGGATCGCCGGAGCCCAGCAGGTCGAGGCTGCGGTGGCCGGGAGCGGCCACTGCACTCCAGTCTGGGCGACTGAGTGAGACTCCAATTCAAAAAAAAAAAAAAAAATTATCATCGTGGCCATTTTAAGTGTATAGTTCAGTGACATTAAAATACATTCATATTGTTGTACAATCATCACCACCATTCATCTGGATTTTCATTTTGCAAAACTGAAACTCTGTATTCATTAAACAGTAACTTCCCATTCACGTCTCCCTGTCCCTAGCAACCATCATTCTATTTTCTGTCTTTTTTTTTCTTTTCTTATTTTTTTTAAACAAACCCTTGTGTCATACTTTCTGTCTTAGAATCATACAGTATTTGTCTTTTTCTGACTGGTTTATTTCTTTTTTTTTTTTTTTTTTGAGTTGGAGTCTCACTCTGTCGCCCAGACTGGAGTGCAGTGGCTGCTCCTGGCCACTGCAGCCTCGACCTGCTGAGCTCCGGCGATCCTTCCGCTTCAGCCTTCCAAGTTAACTGGAATTACAGGCGCGGGCTACCATGCCCGGCTAATTTTTTGATTTATTGTAGAGATGAGGTCTCGCACCCGCGGGCTCAGGCAATCCACTCACCTCGGCCTCCCAAAGTGCAGGATTACAGGCTGAGCCACCAAGTCCGGCCTTGGTTTATTTCAATTGGCATAATGTCCTCAAGTTAACCTACATTGTAGCATTAATCAGAATTTCCTTCCTTTTTAAAGCCAAGTAATATTCTATTGTATGTACATAACACATTTTGCTTAACCTTTAATCTGTCCTAGACACTTGAGTTGCTTCCAACTTCTGACTATTGTGAATAATGCTGCTATGAACACGGATGTGCAAATATCTCTTTGAGACCCTACTCTCATTTATTTGGGGTATAGCTACTCAGTAGTGGAATTGCTGGATCATATGTTAATTCTGCTTTTAATATTTTGAGGAACCATCATGCTGTTTCCCACTGTACTATTTTACATTCCTATGAGTAATGCACAGGGGTTTCAATATCTTCACATCCTTGCCAACACTTATATTCTAGGTTTTCTTATTTTTGGAGAGAAGCCACTCTGATGGGTATAAAGTGGCATCTTGTGGTTTTGATTTGCATTTTCCTGATGGTTAGTGATGTTGAACATCTTTTTATGTGCTTCTTGCCCATTTGTATATCTTCTTTGGAGAAATATCTATTCAGGTTCTTTGCCCATTTTGAATAGGGTTGTTTATTTTTTGTTATTGATTTGTTGGTGTTCCTTGTTTGTTCTGGATATCAATTCCATCATATGTATGGTTTGTAAATATTTCTCCTGTGGATTGCCTTTGTTGATAGTATCCTTTCTTTCCTCTTCAGATTTACATTTTTAAAAATTGTGGTAAAGAACACATAACATAAAATGTACTCTCTTCACTATTTTTAACTGTATAGTTAAGTAATGTTGAGTATATTCACATGATAGTATTCTTTGCAGACAAAATTTTAATCTTGATGAAATTCAACTTATCTATTTTTTTAATTGCTTATGTTTTTGGGGTCATATTGAAGAAATCATTGCCAAATCCAGTGTCATGAAGCTTTTCCCCTATGTTTTCTCCCAAGAGTTTTATAGCTTTAGCTCTTATGTTTAGGTCTTTGATCCATTTTGAGTTTATTTTCATGTGAGTCCGCTAGCTTTGTTCTTCTTTTTCAAGATTGTTTTTGCTATTTGGGATCCTTTGAGGAATTTTTTTTTTTTTTAATTAAGAAAGGTAGATTTATTAAAGGGAAGATACATTGTGAAGAGCGTAATGGGCAGGACAGCAGTGAGAGAGTTTGCTGACTGCCTCTTTGAGGGATTTTTTTCTTTAGTTTAGTTTTGTTTTCTTTTCTTTTTGGAGTCAGGGTCTCACTCTGTTGCCCAGACTGGAGTGCTGTGACATGACTACAGCTCACTGTAGCTTTGAACTCTTGGACTCAGGTGATCATTCCGCCTCAGCCTCCTGAGTAGCTGGGACTACAGGCACATGCCACCATGCCTAGCTAATTTTTTATTTTTTGCAGAGATGAGGTCTTGCTGTATTGCCTATGCTGATCTCAAACTCCTGGCCTCAAGCAATCCTCCCACCTCCGCCTCTCAGAATATTAGGATTATAGGAATGAGCCACTGTTCCTGGCTCCTTTGAGATTTCATATGAATTTTAGGATAGATTTTACTACTTTTACAAATTTTGATAGGGATTACATTGAGTAGTATTTGGGTACTATAGACATCTCAATTTTATATAGTCTTCCAATCCATGAAAATTGAATGTCTTTTCATTTATTTGTGTCTTTAATTTCTTTCTTTTTTTTTTTTTTTGAGTTGG